CGTGTCAGACCAAAGGTCCATCTAGCCCAGTATCCTGTCTACTGACAGTGGCCAATGCCAGGTGCTCCAGAGGGAGTGGACCTAACAGGCAATGATCAAGTGATCTCTCTCCTGCCATCCATCTCCATCCTCTGACAAACAAAGGCTAGGGACACCATTCCTTACCCATCCTGGCTAATAGCCATTAATGGACTTAACCACCATGAATTTATCCAGTTCTCTTTTTAAATGCTGTCATAGTCCTAGCCTTCACAACCTCCTCAGGTAAGGAGTCCCACAAGTTGACTGTGCGCTGCGTGAAGAAGAACTTCCTTGTATTTGTTTTAAACCTGCTGCCTATTAATTTCATTTGGTGACCTCTACTTCTTGTATTATGGGAATAAGTAAATAACTTTTCCTTATCCACTTTCTCCACATCACTCATGATTTTATATACCTCTATCATATCCCCCCTTAGTCTCCTCTTTTCCAAGCTGAAGAGTCCTAGCCCCTTTAATCTCTCCTCATATGGGACCCGTTCCAAACCCCTAATCATTTTAGTTGCCCTTTTCTGAACCTTTTCTAGTGCCAGTATATCTTTTTTGAGACGCATATCAACAATGGATGGTTGGACTGCCAAGGAAAAATTTAAACAAATTACATTTTCCCTAGGGAAGTTCTGAAATGTACTGGGGGAGGGGGGGAAAATACCAAAACTGGATAAAAATTAAAAGGGCCTAAGAACTATTCACCACTGTTGCTTTCTAAAGTGAAGTTTTGGCATTTTGATTAGATGGGCTCATCTGTGTGACTACCCATGGTTCTGAAGACACTGTATCATAATGCATATACACAAGGTGCCAAAAATAAGTTTGCACAAGCAGTCTTAATTCTGGCATTTCTTAACCTTTGAGTACTTGACTTTGCAAACTTAGTATTCTTTTAACACAGTTTTTGTGTGTTTGCTCTCTCTGTCTCTCTCAAAAAAATTGTAGTTAAATCAGTACATACAGTATTGACTTCCTTCAACTTCTTAGCTATCTATGTAAATGATGGCTGAAGTCTTGTGGCTATTATAACCTTTTAAAAATTTATTTTCAGTAAAACTTTAAAGTTTTCTTTGTAATAAATAGTGAAATTACTTGAACACATGCTTTGTACTTCATAGACACAACTACATACTCTATTATATATAGGGCAAGGATTTTAAACAAACCAGCCATGTTGATTTCAGGTTAATTAAAAACTGAGGAGTGGAATCAATGCTGAATTTTTTTTCCACTTACAACAAAAATGTCAAATTTTTATATTGTAGAGGGTCATATTCAATTTTTAATTGTTGTCTGAAAAGGAGTATTTAGGTATACATACTGCCTTTGTTCCACTACGGAACCTGTGTCCAAGGGGCATTTGGTGCCAACTGTTGGAGGGCATAGGGTTTTCACAAAGATCCCCTGCATCAGATATATGCCTAATCGTTCATTGAAGGCTGTCATGTGAAGTCTTTACCAAGAACCAGTAGCCCACTGGATGTTATAAATATTGCAAAATGTGTGTATGGATGATATTTAAGGAGTTATGTATCTATACTGAAAATTAGGTTCTTAAGGTCTTGGAGTTAAGACAGGTAACCAGGAGATGACATACCTCGGAAATATTTCTTTCAGTCAGGATGTAACAGATGCTTATCTCCCTTTCTGGTAATTTGTGTGTTGTATATCCTATGCCCTGCAATGTCTCCCTATTTGTATCGAGAGCTAGAGCAGAATTAAAGATTGTGAAATCTGCACAAGAGGAAACTTACAGGGTGAAACAAACAGCCCGTGTGTGTCCTCTACTATGAATAGAGACAAAGGATTGTTATGGTATATCTTGGGGTGCAAAGAAACTCATGGGATCCTTCACCAAGAGGCAAACTGATAGTGTGCTTGTCTCATGAAATGAAGGTCACAGGCAACCTGGCTCTAAAGTGCTGCAAGGATTTTGGATGAGTGATACACTAGAAGACATGAAAGTATTTTGTTAATTAAGTCTAAGGTCTAGAATGCGTGTTATGATTTTATTTTCTGAGTAATTGTTTCGAATACTTGTACTTGTTACTACTCGAATTTCTGTGCTTCGTTAAATAACAAAGCTTTGCTTCTCTTTCATTGTCCTGTCTGTTTTTCCTATAGTAATTCCCAATTAGTACTACGCCTCCATTCCATCCATTAAAATAAGCAATTAAATAGTTAAAGCCAACATTTTAAAAAGTGTAACTAGATTTCATGCCCCATTAATAAAGGACAGAGAAGTTCATACCTCTCTTTTCAGGCTGTCTGCCCTTTGTTCACATTTGAAAGGTTATCTTTGCAGTCATAAGGGCTAGACTCTTTTAATATAATGGAAGCTTAGATTCTGTAAGATCTAAATTTGTCAGATGGGCCACTCAAATGCATCAAATGGGCTAGATCAAATCTGTTGCTTTGTTTTCGCTGCGTCAAAAAGTGTGTGTGTATGAGTGCTATTTTTACCACAGGATGACTAAAGTACTGTATGTTAGCTATCCCATTATAAAATCCTAATGATATCAAACCACCTGTAGCTTTTACTGTGAGCTAGTTAAGCAAAGTCAATGCTATATGTGCCCCCTCCCTCCCGGGTTGACCTCACCTAGCTAATTTCCATAAAAACTACAGTGCTTGTCTCTGATAGGACTTTACAGTGGGATAGCTAATGCACATTTGTTATCTGGTGCTTAAAAAAACCCACTTTTTTTTTCTTCACTGAAGACATGACCTGAGTTAATCTTTTCCCAGTAGCTTAACATTTAAAGAATATTGCAAACAATGAAAAGAACTTGATTGTTGTTGTTTTTTAATGGATTAAAAATGGATTTCTTTCATGTACTTGCATGAAGAAAGCAGTGAAACTAGGTGTGGATTAAAAAGTTGCAGCACATATCCATATACTACTACTTCAAAGCATAAGTAGGATCTTAGGCAACTGAGATCAGAGAGGAGCATTTTCTACCCTACACATGATATTTAACAGCAAGCAAGCAGGGTGCTTTTTTTCCTGAAAAAATGGGGATAGGTCATTTCCTGCCAAAGACCGGATACTGAACTAGGTAGACCAGTGGTCTGTTTTTGGCATAGGAATTTTGTTTCACAAACTACTGAAGAAATAAATATTTCACTTCAAACTTAAAATCCGAGTAACGCTGTTTTGCTGATTAAAGTATGCAAACATTAAGATCCTGCAAACCTTTACACACTTGAATATTCCTTAATCTGGATTAATTTAGTTCCACTGAAGTCAAGGGTTCTACCTGGATGAGTGAGGATTTGCAGGATCAGACCCTTAGTTTGTTAAGAGGTGATTTAATAATATTAACCACAGGAAAGGCTTTTTCATATTTACTTTGGTCATCTGACTAAATAATTTGATGTAATAGTCTCCTGAACTCCAAGCTCTAGTTTTAAGGAGTAATAAATAAATAAATAAATAAATTAGCTCGCTCATCTCCACTGTTCTTACTTCACACATTTGTAGCATGTCTGTAGTCTGTACTTTCCTTGTGGGATTTTGAGATCATACTGTTAGCCAAATGGGCTCGTTTCCCCCTGGAGCTGCCCAATTACCCCAAGGAGGCACGGGAGTCTAGAAGACGGCTTTAAGTTTTTATTGACCAGTCAGCTGAGTGGGCGCTCTCCTCGGCTAATGCCAGAGAGAGAGCCCCTTATAAGTGCGGAGCAAGCCTTTTTATACCTAGCAACAAACAACTTAGCATGCATACCTGATACGTGTATGCGGAAGGATTGAGAGAGAGGCAAGGGAATGGATACATAACAGGATGCAGTTTAACATTTGCTTGAACTCATCACTTCTTTCCACAGCACCCCCTTTCCCTCCCCGCACTCCGCTCTGAGGCATATGTTAGACTGAAATAGCAGTGCCTTTCTGTCTCACCTAGGCTGGTGGTTTGGCCGCCTTGTGTTATCACATAATCTTGCTGCACAGAAGGCTGCAGCGGGTGTTTTGCAGAAACAGTCGTTGCTCCTGATATAACAGCTGAGCTTATAGGCAAATAGTTGATCTTTTGCTCTAACATACTGTAAATTAATTCATTCTTCAGAGTATGGTTTGAATAGTGTGCAGTGAATAAGGCATGGGGACACATACTGAACAGTAAAGAGAAAACAAAAATATTGAATAGTTGGTCATTAAGCGTCAATCCTGTACACTGACTGAATCAGGCAGCCGGTGGAAAAAGATATGTGATCGTGTAATTAAAGATTATCATAATACATGTGCACAAGGGGACTAATTAAGGTTGCACAGGAAACCTTGATTCTGGTATTTCTTAACTTCTGGATACTTGACTTTGCAACATTAATAATGTTCTTTTAAGGTAGTTTTTTTGTATGTATTATTGATTTTGTTTAATTCAAGCTAAATCAGTATCAGCAAGGTTTTGGGCTGCTTAAATTTGTCTACATTAAGAATTTGGACTTTTTCTGACTAGATGGATTTTAAAATCAATTCAGTTTATCTGCTGCAAACTTCCAGTATAGAAAAGGCCAGTGTCTCATTTTCCCCATTTGTAAAAAAGATAGAAAAAAATACCGCCTACCTTTGGAGGGTTGTTGCAAAGTTAGTAATAACAGCTCTTATGGTGGTTTTCTCTCATATGGAAAAAAAGGTCCACAGGTAACCCAGTACTGTAAATGTTCTGCACAGTAACTAATTTACTCTTTTTTTGCCTTTGACAGTAATTCATTACAAGACAAAATGCTAGTAGTCTGAAAATATTGGGTTTATATCCTTGTGTAAATCACAGCTTTTCCAAAATAAGCTTTAGAAAGAGTATTTATCTTTTTGCATGTTTACTGTTTTCAGCAGAAAACGTTTTTTCTTGGTTGTACAGATCAAATAGTAATTTTACTGTTTTTTTTTTTTGCTAGTGGCAGACTTCCTAGCCCCCAGAGTATATCTCCTCATCATGAAATGATCTGATTTAGTCTCCTTTTCCTTTCCAGCTTTCCACCATTTGGATCTCTTGAGTTGTGTTTTAGTGGATTATTCATTACTGAGCCCAAAGTCTCATCACCTCAATTATTTGCATGTTTATTAAATGAAGATGTTGAGAAACTTATTGCAGTAGTATTGAGGTGTGTATTTTTATGTAGGCTTTTAAGCTACTTGTGTATCTCACTTGTACGATAAGAGTTATAATAGCAGAGTTAACATGTAATTGTAAATTCCTATTTTTGTTACAAGTATGTTTTGATATAATTAAATTATTAAGTATGGCTAAGATTGAATATACAGTATGAATAACATTTTTTCCCCTGGTGCCAGACATTTTATTGTCATCTCCTAAAGTGAAAAATACTTAAATTTCTATTGCTTTGTCATGAAACAAATTATAGTTGTACTACTTTTACCTTGCATTGTGGAATCAGCCTGTTCTACTCTTGCCTAGTACTACCAAGTCAGCACAAGTATGGGAGAATGAGCTGGATTCTATTCTTGCTAATTCTGTTGAAAATGTATTGTTAGCCAAGTTATAATTGCAGGCCCAGTGGAGTTACCCAGTTATAAGTGTGCGCAGATACTTTATTATTTGTGACAAGTCACATTAAAAGGAAAGAACAAAGCCTGGCTGAGTTTGCAAGCCCGGCGCTTATGGGTTTTTTTCTTTTCCTATTTGTAAATTGAGTAAATGTGTTATGGAAATCCCTGACATCCACATGCAATACAAAATGTTGAGTTTTATGGAGTCACTTTTTAGAATAGAACTGTGCTTAAAAGAAGCAAAAATGAGATTTGGTGGGTAAAGAGAGCTGATTACCTGTTTTACCAATATTTCTAAAAATATTTTAATTTTGTATTTGGTGAGTTAGCATATTTTAAACATTATTCTTCTAAAAGCATTAATATTTTAAGTTAATAATTTAGCAGAATTATTGATCACAAAGTGATACATTTCATTGTACATTTATAGTTCATAGATTCTAGGACTGGAAGGGACCTCGAGAGGTCATCGAGTCCAGTCCCCTGCCCTCATGGCTGGACCAAATACTGTCTAGACCATCCCTGATAGACATTTATATAACCTACTCTGAAATATCTCCAGAGATGGAGATTCCACAATCTCTCTAGGCAATTTATTCCAGTGTTTAACCACCCTGACAGTTAGGAATTTTTTCCTAATGTCCAACCTAAACCTCCCTTGCTGCAATTTAAGCCCATTGCTTCTTGTTCTATCCTTAGAGGCTAAGGTGAACAAGTTTTCTCCCTCCTCCTTATGACACCCTTTTAGATACCTGAAAACTGCTATCATGTCCCCTCTCAGTCTTCTCTTTTCCAAACTAAACAAACCCAGTTTTTTCAGCCTTCCTTCATAGGTCATGTTCTCAAGACCTTTAATCATTCTTGTTGCTCTTCTCTGGACCCTCTCCAATTTCTCCACATCTTTCTTGAAATGCGGTGCCCAGAACTGGACACAATTCTCCGGTTGAGGCCTAACCAGCGCAGAGTAGAGCGGAAGAATGACTTCTCGTGTCTTGCTCACAACACACCTGTTAATACATCCCAGAATCACGTTTGCTTTTTTTGTAACAACATCACACTGTTGACTCATATTTAGCTTGTGGTCAACTGTAACCCCTAGATCCCTTTCTGCCGTACTCCTTCCTAGACAGTCTCTTCCCATTCTGTATGTGTGAAACTGATTTTTCCTTCCTAAGTGGAACACTTCGCATTTGTCTTTGTTAAACTTCATCCTGTTTACCTCAGACCATTTCTCCAATTTGTCCAGATCACTTTGAATTATGACCCTGTCCCCCAAAGCAGTTGCAATCCCTCCCAGTTTGGTATCATTTGCAAACGTAATAAGCGTACTTTCTATGCCAATATCTAAGTCGTTAATGAAGATATTGAACAGAGCCGGTCCCAAAACAGATCCCTGAAGAACCCCACTTGTTATTCCTTTCCAGCAGGATTGGGAACCATTAATAACAACCCTTGAGTACGGTTATCCAGCCAGTTATGCACCCACCTTATAGTAGCCCCATCTAAATTGTATTTGCCTAGTTATTGATAAGAATATCATGCGAGACCGTATCAAATGCCTTACTAAAGTCTAGGTATACCACATCCACAGCTTCTCCCTTATCCACAAGGCTTGTTATCCTTATGACTTCTATGAATTCTAAAAGCAAATATAATTTCCGTTTACTTTGAACTGAAGTCTTTATGGTATTCTGTCATCTTATGCCACATCTCTAAATGCTTCAAATAATGTATGGACTGACTATATTAATACCAAGTTGTAAACTGAATTTTTTAAGATTACATTTTTAAGTCTGATGAAATGCCTTCGTTTTCTGATTGTACTAAAACCTTTATGGTTGAGCAACTAACAGACCCTGCAGAGAAAATACTAAATCAGATTGATTGTAATTCATTCATCACACTCCAGAGAAACACTTACCCTGTAACAGGTATTCAGATGCTTTTACATTTGGGCTCTTATTTCATAGGTAATGTCAGCAAACAAAAGGATTTGTAATTTTTATTTAGATTAATTCAAACTCTAGAAAGTAGTTTCATGGTGTCTTCTGCTCTATGTTGAGTGTCTCATCTTTCTGGAAGAGAGACAAATTAATTCACTAAGGTTTAAGATGATAATCTGAAAGTTACAAGTCATGTACAAATGTTTTTTTTCACCTTTGCGACAAATCGTAATATTTTTTTGCTAGTGTTGACTTGAATATTTTTCCGATTGTTTACTTTTGATTAAAAACCTGTGTTGGTTGGCTTTTTTTTTGTTTGTTTGTTTGTTGGTGCTTGTCTGTCTTCCAGCTGTGTTAGCTGTTAACTCATCTAACTAAAGTTGATGAATTTTCCACCCCCAAACCCTTCATTGTCCTGATTTGTGCACATTCTAGTCAAGATAGAATTAAAGTACCAGAGGGTACCTGCTGTGAATATTTTGGGATAGGCAAGATGAAACGCTGGGCCACCACTTTTGTAAATTCAATGAAAGGCTCTCAGTACGTACGTTGGAACCTCTTGTAAACGTAATACTGCTTCATGCATGACATTTTGAGGACCTACTAAATTTAAGGCCCAAATTCAATAGTTTTCTGATGTTGTAAGTACTTGTTAGATGGACTGATTTTGTTGTAACTTTGTTATAGCAGCGCGGGAGGCAGAGGCCGGTGCAGGCAGCAGGGAGTGGCGTGTCCCGGGGAGCCCGGCGGCACGATGAGCAGCGGGGATCACTAGTTCCTGCCCCCCCCGGGTTGGGGTCCGTGGCCCTTCAGGGCTGGGCTGGCCACCCCAAGATTGGTCGGAATGCCACCCCTTACAATGTGCCACCCCAGGCACGTGCTTTCTTGTCTGGTGCTTGGAGCCGGCCCTGAGTATAGTACAATATAGTTACTTCTGGTGAAACATGAAAAATGCAGCATAAATGGTTTACAGTACAGTATATTTTAAAATTGTGTATTTTTCTTAATGTCATGTTCAGATATTTAACGTTTAGCACAGGTTTAGAGGTTTATTAGTTAAGTTGCTAATTCATCAGGATCCAAACCTTTTATCCATTCCTTCCCTCCTCTTTCTCCCCCCAAAACCCCCCAACCCTCCAAACCAAACAAACAAAAACCAGGAGCATATCCATTTGAAACAGTAATATGTATTTCTCCAGACATCATTTCATCCTAAAATATCACTTGTCCATTTAACACCTTTTCAGACATGTGCTGTATTAGGACTTTTAGGTTCTGGAGGAGAACATTTTTTCTGTAGTCTTAGATGTTCAGAAACATAAATGTAGAACAGAACAGGTAAAAATTATGGATTAAAAAGATACCACAGCATAGCTTTAAACACTAAAACTACTGGGGAAAATAATTCAGACAAAGAGTTTAATTATTCCTTTTGAGGAAAGAGATTCTTGAATTACAGGGAATGCTTTATGTGGAATATTTAAAATGTGTGTTCCCCATAGTATAATGAAACACTTGTCCAACTTCAGATATTGAACAAATGTAAAAATATTATTCTAAATTTCCTTTTGAAAAGTAAGCACAATAGTTCATTGTCTAAAATCTTATTGTACTATAACATGAGGGGGACATGGAGTAGAAATGTAACCATCTAGAAAATCTCTGTTTTGGTGTCTGAGTAATAGACGGCAATGGTTGGACCAGTTTTTCCCCCCTTATTTCTGTCAGGTGTGTATTGTATAAACACTTACTAATGTGGTATGTAAGCCCTGACTGCATTTATATAGCCACATGAAAAATGTTGGTTAGCTAACAAATAAGGTTGCGAGGTACTAGCCCAAGGAACATATATCAATACATACATCTTTTAAAAAGAAATAAGCAGTAAAGTTTACTATCTAGTTCTGACACCAGTTTGTGGGTGTCCGTTAAGATTGGAATTTTCTGTCTTAGCAATACTCAAAGGACCTATAGCGATACCCTGACAAACTAAGCTCTGTAAAAACCTTATCCATCCACAAGAAACCGTTTAGTCTCATTAGGGACCACAGACACTGAAATATCTTACTATTAATCATACATTTGTTGAGCAAATGCTCCCCTATTTCATAGTCATACACAGTTCACAGAAATAAAGTACCCGGTATGTCTAAATTCTTAATTGTACAACCTACTATCAGAAGGGCTTAATGTCCATGTTTACAATCTTTGAATAGTGTGCTCTTCCCCAATACTTCATATTTCACTCTTCTCAACTTGTAAGCATTTCAGGGCACCTAGCACAGGGGGGACCCCCACTGTTTCTTGGGGCTTATGGGTACTATTATAATATAGTTAATAATTATTGTAAAGGTATTATACAGTAAGTTTTTCTTTCTGTATCTTGATAAAAGGACAGTCTTTTTAAAAGAAATAATTATTTTCATAGTACTTAGAAGAAAGGAATAAAATTCAGCAAATGTCGTTAGGGTTGTTCTTCTGACATCTTTTGTTTTTGATTCTATATGCAGGATTCTGAGCAACAATAAAATATCGGAGTTGAAGAATGGTTCCTTTTCTGGATTAAGTCTTCTTGAAAGATTGTAAGTACTTATTTAAAAAATAATTGGAATTCACCACTAAATCTTTTGTTTGTATATTTTAAGTATCACATAAATGTACAAAACAGAACAAAACATCTCCTTTTAAATAGGATCTTCTGTAGTGGGAAGTATGTAGCCATGTCTGCTTCAGCATAAGAATTATTTGATAGCTGAGTGATCAATGTACTTAATAGTCTTTTTCTCTATGAAGGTTAAACTACAGTAACAGTTACTACAGAGGGAGTTTGGCAAAAGCCATTTTCTGAGACTTAGTTGGGGGAAGGGGAACAATAAGAAAGTGCAGAAAATGATCTCCACAGTACCATAGACATGCCTGGCACTTTAGAGAGAATGACTACATAGCTATGATTTCATTCTGAGGTGGTGCTGGGGCAAACTCTGTGGGAAGTTATTTAGATTACAGTGATGTGACATTGAGATTGCCTTACCTTTCCTCTTGCTGGCAATCCTCATTTGGAAGGGCAAAAAGGCAAGTGTGGCTAACGGCAGGCTAAGAATAATGTGTGTATGTACTTGTTTGGGTACAGGTGTGGCACTTCAGAACATAAAAGGGGAGGAGAAATCAAGTTCTTTTTGAAGGGTGGCAAGTCTGAATGGGAGTGTACACTTCTCTGCAGCCTGAAATTTCCCTCTCCCCTATAGGTTTAGTAGTAGCATGTACTTTGTGGGGGTTCATTGCCTTACAAATTCCATATATGTCAACTTGATGGAAAGAAAATCAGGATGATCTGTGGCACCAAAAGTGGTGGTGCCTCCTTTTCTTCTTCTTCCTGCTCTCCTTTGGGTTCCCTCTTCTGTGATTCCCATTGCCTCTCTTCCTTCTAGATCAGTGGTGGGCAGCCTGCGCTCCATCAGGGTAATCTGCTGGCAGGCCACGAGATAGTTTGTTTACATTGACCATCCGCAGGTACGGCCCATGCCGCTTCCCGCAGCTCCCATTGGCCAGGAACGGCAAACCGTGGCCACTGGGAGCTGTGGGCGGCCATACCTGTGGATGGTCAATGTAAACAAACTGTCTTGCGGCCTTCCGGCGCATTTCCCTGTTGGGCTGCAAGTTGCCCACCACTGATCTAGATGTTGCTGTGTCATCTACAGGTTAAGAGGAAGCACTTCAGCTCCTATTTCAGGACGGTGTTTCCTTTTCCTTTTATGGATGGTGCTGATGCTGATGAATTCAAAATAGGAAGTGTAGGTGGTGGATGTTCAGGGTTGGCAGAGTATTTTTTATGAGGAAGAGCAACGGAAGAAATGTTGGAAGTGTATGGATCTCTAAGCTGTGCTGACTGATTAGGAAAGTAGCCAGTCCCACCTCCTTATCCTAGCATCAAAGTTCTTTTGGTTTCAAGTCAGCTTTAAAATATCGAATTCATCCTCCAAACCTTAAAAATACAGACAATGAAAATATTAGCGAGTGAGCAGATGGAAAATTGAATTTGTGGTATTGCTCACAATAAGCACGTGAGTTGAACATTCTTTATAGCTTGCTAGGTGATGGGATATGAGTAAGCATGATCAGGAGCCAAGAATTATGGGAAGTGTAGTTTATCAAAAATGGTGTATTGAGTTGCCTAAAGCCTTGTGTAAGCTAGAGAAATCTTTCAAAAGAAAAAAAAAATTCCAGCCATGCTGACTCTGGTTCAGGTCCAAAGGTGTTAGCAATATTGGGAGCTCTGATGTACATAGGCCAATGGCTGCTGACAGTGTTGTAAGCTGTATGTCCTATAACTCTGCTCACTGTTTGATTAAGAGTGTTTAAAACATTGGAAGCTGATGACTTACCTACATTAGGACTCCCTATGTTTGTAATACCAGAGGACTGTGGACGGTTTTGCAAAATGTCCCTAGATTACACTTTAGAAATGTACCAGAGAAGCTGTTCTATTAACCAGGCAGTAAGTGGTAGCTCATTAATACTCAAAAAAAAAAGCATGGAGTTGAAAATGTATTGACAGCTGATAGATATAACTTAGCTGTAGACCAGAAAATCCAAATAGAGACTCATAGTGTTGTCTTCGGGGAGCAGAGAACAAAAGAACATCTGGAAAAGTGAAGGTTTACTTCAAAGGACAAAGCGTCTGTAACTGCCTAACTGTAATGAAACAGTACAAGTATTTGGCTAAAAGATCCGGAAACAAGGTGAAAGCTTGGTTCCACTGAAGTCAGTGGCAGAATTCCCATTGATTTCAATTGGGCCGGGATTTCACCCCAAAATGTTTTGTCTGCCAGAAACCTGGTGCCGATGCCTGTCAGCTTAAATGAAGAGTATTGTATTAAATTGAATTAAAAAAAATACATGTGTACAAAATAGAAATAGGCAGTGGTTATAAAAAATACAGAAACAGGAAAAGCGTTAAACTAGAAATAGGCAGTAAGTTATTAAATATTTTTGAAAGATTTGAAGTAACCAAGTATGAATTTTGGTAAATTATGTAAATTTGTAATCCTATTACTGTTAGCTCATACTCCTCATGTCCCTCCTATTATTTGTCACAGTCACTTATTAAATATTTTCTTAGTCTCTGCCTTCAAGAGCCTGCAGGCAAGTTTGTCTTCCCCATGGGATTTGTACAATACTTGGTAGTACAGCTCTGGTCCTGATTGAAGCCTTTGAGTGTTACCCTAACATACATTATAATAATGATGAAGTGGTGGGTACAGAAACAAAATTGCTATGTTATGGCAACTTGTCATTTTGTAGAAAGGGGAAAAAAGATCACATTTCTGTTTTATGTAGGTTCTTATACCACACTCATCATTGTCATATCTTAGTGCCTTCCACTCATGAATTAAGTGTCACGGTTAACATCTATCGTGTGTGGTTTGTTCTTTCTCTTATCCTCTTCCTGGGGCTGGTAATTGTGTGTGTAGTGGAGTGTTTTGTGTTGGTAGGATTTTTTTTGGTGATGGATTTTTGTTTTGTTTTCATCTTTTGGAAATGTTGCTTTGTGTTTGTTAGATAATCATTTATTCATGTATCAGTTTATCAAGACTTAATCTTTCCTTTACAATAAATCTCACTAATATATTATATAATTTTCATTAATAGCTATATGAATCCAGAGTAACCTCTGGAAATATTTCTATCTACAAATTCTTCTTCTTATTTTTTGGATCATCGCACCAGAAACCTGTTAGGTTTGTATATTCCTGCAATCTGTGATGCTAACTCAATACGGAAGTTACAGCTATATAAATGAAATGAAATCAGTTTTGTTTAGCAAGTTTAAATTTGTACTTTGCAACTTTGTACTTAAAGCTGCTCTCTGTCTCTCTGGAGATAGGAGCTGGCACTATAACAGTACCTTACCCCTACCTAACCAAACCTGACATTTTCTCTGTTTTTCTGTTCATCATTGTTGATCTGGGAAGTACTTGCTCATGATTGACGGAGGCTGAGAAAAGGGTAAAGTACTACAATCTCCCTGAAAGGGAGCAGGGATGAAACAGGGCAGAGTAAATTTGTGTGGGAAGTTACACCTTAACTCTGAATTTCTTGTTTTTAGAGGTTTAAGTTTAGTCATCTTCCATGTTTTGGAATGGTGTAAAACATTACTATGCAAGCTTAACGCTGCACTAACAAAGTTTTTTTTTTTCGGGGTCGGGGGGGGGAGTAAAATATTTCTGAGAAATAGAATATTTCTGTTTCTGTGGAACATTCTAGCTCTGACTCTACATCATTCTGCGATTGTAGTGTATTGTTCCACTATTAAAGTTTAGGGCAAGGCAATTATTTATCTGACTTGTATTCATATAGTGTATAGCACTGTGTGCTCATACATTCCTATAGAAATAATGTGTTTGAGGAGAAGCTGCTGTGGATGTTTTCCCTTCTATCGTCTACACACACACACTTTATTTTCATGATTTGATCTTCAATTTGCTTGTGAATTTTTCTTCCACATTACGGATTAGAGACCCCTGTCCTCCTTTAGCCATAGATCTGAAAAAACTGTAATAGTAGGCATTTCACCATTACCTTTTATATTGACTCCTTATCATGGTACTTCTAAGACAATTACCCTTTCTTATCCAGGAGGTGAAAAAGAGCTATGTGCTATTTTGATATATTGCTGTGCTTGCTAGTACCATGATAGTAAAGGATGGATCAGTAGTTCTACTATAAACTGTGCAAATTATGGTTTGGAGGCTTGTAATTTGGCTATAACAATTTTATCTGGGTTGGAACGTGGAGCTACCACTTACTGCCTGGTTAATAGAACAGCTTCTCTGGTACATTTCTAAAGTTTAATCACAGTTTGCATTTTGCACATCAGCCTGTCTTACCCACAGGTAGAGGAACTTCATTAAAATATTCCCAAACCGGGTCTCTTTTATGGCCTGCTGGCATTATATGTTTTCCTTTCTAGTGAGAGAATGGTATGGCAGATCTCAAATCAATGAAGGCTACACTCAGAAAGACATCAAGACTTCTGGAATATGCTGCTCAAATTGTTTCAGGGAAGGGGTTGGAAAGGGGGCAGGGAAGAGCTGGGGCAGGGGCGGGGCCTCATGGAAGGGTGGAGTGGGGGCGGGGCCGAGGGCAGCAGAGGGAGGTGTCAGTAAATGCGGCCCTTGGGCCAATGTACTAGTCCTCATGTGGCCCTCGTAATCATTTTGAGTTTGAGACCCCTGTGTTAGTGGGACTTTGAGTGTTGTGATTATTAGTGAGCTATAACAATGGGCAAGGTCTTTGTATTTTTTATATTAGGAAGAGGAAAGTGGCCTCATGGAGTGTAAATGGACAGTTATTTGTGGGCATTCTTTTCCCCTATCTTTCTGCATATACATTAACTCACCCTTTTGTAAGGGACAAATGTTCTTTTAATATTTTAGTTCCTCTTGCTGGAGGAGCATTGGAGGTGGGGGGGGGGAATGGGCTAATTGTGAGGTACCATCGTGGGGGGGGATTTTTTTTTTTCATTTGAGGATATTTTTAGAGTTGGTTGGAAATGGGGTGCCTTAAGGTTTTCTACTTCTGT